TACTTTCGAGTAGCTGAGAAAAGTCTAACGTTTCACAAGCCATTCGATCTGCTAAGAATCATTTTATTCGTGCGGCCTTTCGAATGATTTGTATATTTTTATACACCTGCAACAGAAGAACATTTGCAGATACGATTTAACGAGATATACACGAGACATTCTATATTGCAACTCAGATGTTGAAGTTTGTTATACTCGAATTTATAATAAGTTACCGAACGAAAACAAATTTTCTAACAGTATCTAATAATATATAAATCACCAACGGACAAATAGGAATACGAAGCCCATTGACACTTGTACCATAAATGTTTTTATATCGCATTGAGATTTACGGCAATCGGTGCTTAAGATACATTAAATTTCAGAAGTCGTAATGAGTCTGTGTTGTGATTAGATAGCTCGAAAGCAATGCTTAAAATAGATAGATTCACTATGACGTAAATAAATATCTAAAGAGAGAAGAGAGCAACTCTCCGAAAAATCATCCAAAAAAAAAGAAAGAAAGAAGAAACGAAATGGGATATGTCGCATCTTTACCTCAATGACCTTTTTGATAATTTCCGCAGTTAAAGTTGTACAGGATATGATTTGTTAGATGTAGAGAGATTAAACTGCTAAACGTTCAGGATTTTCTGTGACAAATTCTGGGCGTCTTCGTAAAGAATACCTTGTTGAACGGCAAAAATCAGTACGCTCTATAAGTATAGACAATGTACGATATATATACATATAAATATAAGTACATATAATAATATTATATATAATATATATTATATATTTTGTATATTATGTATCTATAATGTATAAAATATATACGTGTGATATATATAATATTGTAATATTAATGTATATATATATATAATGTATATGTATCACACATATCCTCTTCCGAATTCATGTTGTTACACGCTGTGCTCACTAGTCCCGCGGACAACGGTGTTCACGACATTCTCAAAGAGAAACGCAATGCGGAAATATCTCCGTATATTCGAAACTCTCTTTTTTTATCGTCGTTCAGGAACTCTATCATTTCATCGACTTCTCTTTAGTTTTTCATGTACAATTAAAAAACTAACATTTTTTTAATTACGTTAATTTTTGAGAAAAAATTGTACGATTATTGCTAGATCACCATGGATGACCATGTCCTTTTGCATCGGGCTCGCATGAAGGCGAAATAGCTTCGCTCGATATCGGTCTTATCCCTTCGAGGAGAAAGAGATGTGCACGATCCAACCCACAACGGACTGCTGGGCACAGCGCCGTGTTTGATAATGCATCGAAGCGCATCGTTTTTCCTTTCGACGATATCGTTGATTTTGACTGAATGATTATTATCATTATTTATCTGTAGCAAAGTGATCGATCGGTTATAACGCCGTACGTTCTGCCAAGGAAGAACGCGAGCGTAACTTTTACGCTATCTCTTGCAAAACTGCGCGACGATAAATAAAAATATAAAAATATATATATTGCTCGATCGCAGCTAAAAGTCGCAAATTACAACGATTAACAGCCGAATCGCCGCTGTTGCCGGCAAGCGTTTGGTATCCTCGAAGCATATCTTCCGTTAAGATCTGCGATAGATCTTGAAGTAAAGATCGCTAGATCGATCTAACGCGGCGACAGAGTTGTTGACTCGTGTACTATAAAGATTTTTATAATAACCCAGATATCTTCGGTGATGTTGGCCAAAAGGAAGATCAGTCATCGGCATAAACGAGTCTTCAAAAATTTATCTCTAAAAGCGTCGCTCTTTCGAGAAGATACCAAGCGGGCCGAGTCTTGTTCCATCACGCGATTGAAATTTCTTTTATTTGACACAGCGCACAAAAAAAAAGGATTTACATAAAAGTTATGTATTGGATCGTCTTTTCCTTGGCAGATCGTAACTTTCTAGTGAAGATATAAGGCACCGCCGACATCCGGGCGAGATCAGTTTAGAAACAAATCTTTTTACGGGGCCGCGATAGGATACGATTCTCGAACCGGGAGGGATAGACAATTTAAACGGCAACGTGTAAGACCTGAATGTACGAAGGGAAATAAACGAGCCGGACTGTAGCTGTGCGAAATAGAAATCCTTTTTTTTTTCTATTCTTCATTTGCGCGAGAGGACGCGATTTTTTAAAACGTGCAACAGCCTTCTCTCTCTTCTCCCGACGGGAGGAGGAAGGCCCGGCGAAACAGGACGAGAACTCCCTTTTAGGATTCCTTTCGCTTTCCGAATATGCGCGTTTTATTTCGAGTTCGAGAGCCACCTCGGGATGAATTTGTCCACTCCATTCAGCTGTCGCAAAATGCAAAGTATTTAAGCCAATTAGCAGACAACAGAGATGTATACATTAATAGCATAAGACCGGCCGTTGATTCAGTGTTCCAAACGATTTATTATC